CCCTTTTGCCCACAGTTCTTTCTCTGTGGTTAGTTTCCATGGTATCGTTTCTCCACTTGACAGTTCGCCCCGAATCACGCTCGTTAGACTGCATGCTTCCGTCCCCGTGGTGCTGCTGCCTTTCTTGAGAACACGCTTCTGTTTAGCCGTTACGTCTGAACACCTGCCGGGACTGGTTGCATCTGACAATATTTGCAGTTTCTTGATTCACCCCGAAGTTCTCTGTCCTGCCCTGCTAAATGCAGTAGCGAAAAGATCAGACACAATCCATTACAGGCTGTGTCTTCCGGTTTCCTATGTCTTTGAGATACTCAATTGACGAAATAGCGAGTTCACATATCTGCCGAATCGTCCATCCGTGTCTAATTCAGTGGTCACTTCGTAACGGAGTGATAAGTGGCTTACTCTCGTGTTTCCATGAAGGCCCTTGTCTTATTGTGTTTAATGGTGGTGTTCTGTTTGATGACTCCTTATGAAGTCTACGCCAGTTGCCCTCAGATAAGCTCCCACTTAGTTTGAAAATATTCTGAATACTCCCTGAGCTCATTATTAATGCAGGCTTTGGGAAGATCTATTTCTCGTAATAGTCAAAACCCGGGGTGTCCACTCAATGTATATTGAATATTTGGTAATTTTGGCAAGGATTGGTTATGTTCTCCCCTCAAAACCCGATAGCACACTGGAATGGGGAAGGTCCACGTTACAGTTGGCTGCTTGCTAGATTCTAGCGAAGTTATTTTCAGGGCAAGGTTAGGACTAAAGCCAGTTTAAGATTAAGATTAGGGCTACGGTCAAGGCCTTGGTTAGAACACAGGAGTAAGCATTCTTTGCGGAACAAAGCAAGACAGTTTTGTATTGTCTCATTAGGAAGTCTCATCTGCATATGGCCTTGAAGTCAGCTGGCAAAGTCAACCTGAATGACCCCTGACAAGTTTCATGAATGAAGTGCAACAGGCGTACATGAAACGAATCTTCTTCCTTATTCCAGCATTTTAGTAATGCAGTCACAGCAACCAACAGTCGA